GGAAGTTTGACAGACTTTTCTGTAAATGATAAAATGGAAAATTCTGTAGATTTACAGTATACTCTCTGTACTATTTACGGATATTTCCTTCAGCTATAAAACGGAAAATTCCGTTTATTCACAGTATATTTTCTGTATCATTACCTGATATTTTCCGTTAATAGAAAAATTTTAATTTCTGTTTATATTATTATTTCCAAGCACTTCTTTTCACTGTAACTCATTAAATATAGTTCTTTATATCCTTAAACGTACATTTATATGTATTCCTTCACGTTTATACAGTAGATTGTACTGTATTTTTACGGATTTTTTTTACAGTGTATATACATGCCAGTAGCTATTAGTAGGCTCATTTCATTTTAATTAATTTGTCCAATGGCCTTGTTAAATTGGGAGGAAGTTTTCTGTCAGGCACTTCACCACAATCCTGCAATGAAATTAAGCTACACAGCCTCTACGTGGCCTCTATGAGGATTAAATGTGCAAATAAGAACACAACAAGATAACGTCACAAAGGGGAAACTCATGGTGGAGTATTTGGATCCAAGGAGACCTTTAAAAAACACAGATGGTTTTCCTGACATCCCCCAGGAATCATATAGACACGCAGTCTTTGATAAGAAGGTCTGTTCAGCGCATGTTCGGTAGATTTTGTACAAACGCGTATATACAGGTAACTTCACCTCCACTTGGTGCGTCTGTTTTGGAACCAGGTTTTGACTTGTGCGTCGGTCATCTTCAGTGCTTTGGCCAGCGCAGCACGTTCCGCCGACGCCAGGTACTTCTGCCGGTGAAAGCGTTTCTCCAGCTCACAGATCTGCAAGCGGGTGAAGGACGTCCGGGGCTTTTTCTTCTTCGGCGGTGTCCGGTTCTGATAAGGGTGACCTACACGACGTGTTACAGTGAGGGGTGAGAGGGACACTAAACAGGAGAGAAGGGCAGAAGGACGAGAAAGGAAAGGACAGGATGAGACAGGACAGGGAAGCAGGATGCAGGGCAAAAAGAAACCGAGAGCGCACCAGCAGCGTAGCAGGAGGAAAAGCAGCTCCGTAAAAATAAATACAACTATTACATACATCACACATATCAATAGTTTTTTTAAATATATAATGCAGAAATTGTTGGGTTTTTCTCTGTATCTATGAAGCGCCTTGAGGCGACATTTGTTGTGATTTGGCGCTATATAAATAAAATTGAATTGAATTGAATAGAAATCATTTTTTAAAATTATGTATATATATTTTAATTCAGGGATTGAATTGGTTAAAAACCACGATCAAACCACCACATTGTCTTAAGGTAAATCAGCCACATATTAAGTTATAAACAAAATTATATTTTCAAAATTTAAAAGCAATAGTTTTATATTAGAAACACGGCGCAGTTACTAAACAGAGGCGGAGCGGCTCCACAAACACACAGAGGCAGCCACAGGTTTTCAACAGTCACCCGGATAACGTGTCTATGTACAAATTACTGCTGAGAATAACTGATTCTTCTCTTTCCCCCGTTTTATTGTAAGTGGACATTTGCTTTTAATTAAAAAGTACCGCGAGTTTAAACTAACGTTTAGTATTGCTATTTTATCCTCTCTTCCACACACACTCATATTATTCTTTTTTATTTTTAAACAATAAATAATCGGGCTATAAAATGAAGAGAAACCGCAAAACGTCTGCCAGGTACATTTACATTTTCATCATAGGAAGGACCAATAAATTCTACTTCTAGTAATTTTAATAATAATAAGTGGATACCTGTGAATCTGTCTTTAGTGTAGCGTCGGTTGCTCTCCATCCATGGGAACGTGAGCGCCGTCAGGTTGTTGATGGTCCCGCTCATCGCAGGCATGGAAGAGTTCCCGGCGCTCAGAGGCCGGTGAGCGGGGACACGGATGACCCCGGCGGAGTTGACGTTAGCACCGTTCATATTCACGCCCATACTCATTTGATAAGCACCGCCGAGGGAAGACATCCCGCACGCGCTGCCGGTGCCGTTATATCCGCTGCTGTTGCACGTGAAACCTCCGTTCACGCCGCCGCTCGCGCCGTTGTTGTAGGCCAGGTGTCCGTAGTCCGGCTCGTGCATCCTCGTGCCCAACATGCAGCTTTGCTCCACGTTGCTGAGGATCTGATCGATGCCGAAGCTGATGGACTCCACTTGCGCGTGCTGCTGCAGGTGTGCCCCCAGTATCCCTATGTGATCCATGGCCTCCACGAGCCGCCGCGAGCCCCCGCTCCTGCGCGAGGAATTTAGGCTGCTTCACGCGCCACTTCCTGAACTCTAATGTTTGTGCTCACGCGAGCTCCGGTAGTTCTAGTGCATGCGTCTTTCTGTGTGCGTTTGCAGGAGAACCCCAACACCCCCACATCCCATACTCCCCTCCCAGCGCACGAGGACACCAGTCAAACTGCCAGAGATTAGACAGAGATGAAGATCCGGTTTCAGGCCTGCGAGCTCAACTGGTTAAATAGGCGACTGCTCTCTAAAACACAAATTAACAGCCGCACACGATCAGTTGGAAACAATTGAAGATGTTTCTGCTTTTGGCACTTTTTTTTTTTTTGGACATTTACTGTGCGGCCCTTCAGGCCTTCAGCCCAATATTTAGCTTAACAACCTGAAACAAACCGTTTGTGCTTCTTTCTTCATTCTCTGACGTTAAAGTCAGTACTGTTTTCATTTGTTCTAGTGCTGGTGTGAATTACCGCAGTGAAAGGATTGCAAATTCAGTTTGGGTCATTTTCTCCCAGCTGCGCGGCGCTGAGCTAAGAGGAGCTGTAGAAATATGAATTAAGAAAACAAAAACGACTTTTTTTTTTGCTTAAGGAAATTTGAGTAGCATTTACACATTTTCCGTTTTTTTTATTTAAACATTTCATACATCTATCTCAGCAACAGTGTTTATAGACCCTATAAATACTGTTTTTTTCTCTACACTTCCCAGGTAGAGAAAAAAAAATGTATTGACCCCCCGTTACATTTAAATTCTGTGATCGGCCGACGGTCTGACGGCTGAAGTGGGTCCGTGAACTGAACTCTTTGCAACCAAAGAAATGGCCCCAGTTCAAAGAACACAACGCAGTCAATTTTTAATCTATGCTGCAAAAATTGGGAACCTTGATAGTTTGGTCTAATGGGCTCAAATATGAATCACTGAAATAAATGAATGGTACGCTGCTCCTTTGTTGTTGCATCGACATCATTAATTCATGTTTGGAGGGATGATGGGACACAAACAGCGTCGTGTTTAAACAGAACTGCACACGGTGCTGCTGGAATGTTTTCCCCGCAGACAATAAAACTAACATAAATTTCAAAATTGAAGTTAATACGCACAAATAGCGTGTTGTTTTTATTTTAAATATTAACGATTCTGGAAATGATCAATGACTACGCGCGGATTTAAATTAGGACGATATTTATCGCAGCTTACCAGAACAAACAGTTCTAAATTTATTCAATCGTGGATCGTAGATCATAGCAATACTAAAATTAATATAGTAACTTTTATATTTTGCTTATTTCAAGACACAACTAGAGAAACTCCTCGTCAAGTGAATGAAAAATTAAACCGCACAGTTTATTGATTTTCTCTCCTTCTAAAAGCCACTGGGACTTAATTACTTAACGTGGGGATTACTATCTGATACCTTTAAAGAGTTTTCACTGGCCAGTCGGTCGACATCAAATTTTAATGCCTAGCAGCGTTTCTGCACACTAAAGTGCAGGTCTTCGTTTAAAACGGGACCAGTAATGAACATTAGGGGAAGGCTGCTAAATTACAGGATCAAATGCAGTAACTCACCAATACAACACAAGACTGAGCTTAACTCCAAGCGTGGTTTCAAGAAAATCAGTTTTGGAAGTTTTATCTCTTCATGAAAAGCAGCTTTAAAACGGAATACTGCACTAAAACACAGCTGCTGTTTTTTGGAAATACATTTAACTAAAGTGATTTTAAGAAATAATTTTATTTATTACAAAATGCGAGTTTATGGCTCCAAATATGAATGAGCATTTTAGCTCTAAACTCTGAACTTTCTACTGGGGAAAAAAATCAGCTATAGAAAACTGAGTGTGATTAAAGTGCTAATATGTCTCTGAGAGGCTCCAACAGTAAACTAAATGATCAAGTCGCCGTTTTCATTTCAGCCCAAAGGGCCTCATGGAGTCTGGAAAAAAACTGGAAAGAGGTTTTGATTTCGGCTCTTTAAGCAGCACAAGCAGAATAATCACCGTTAACTGAAGTTGAAAACTGTTGCCTGTAGAAAAGGCACAGAACATTGTAGAGCCAAACTACTTTTACACATTTGTTTGATCACTGCCCCGAATACTTGTGTCATGTCTTCTGATCTGATTTTTTAATAAGGTTTCTCAGTTAAAAAAATAAAACATAAAACCAGATGACACCCGAATCCCTATTTTCTAGAGTCTTACACTCTTTTTATGCTTTTTTCCTGTGTTTGTCTTAATTTTTCTAGTTTAGTGTTTATGACGTTTACAGTCATAATAAATAAATAAATATTTAGAGAGCACAGTTTCGTGGCCCCGCAGACTGGTGTTTAATGTTTTTTTTCCTCCTCACATTGGTTGAGCCATCAAAGCAGGCATGTCTGTACCTTCTTTAATAAAGTGTGAATGCCTGTGTTATTTAAAAAAAAATCAACCCAATTATGAAGGGAGAAATTACCCATAGAGACAAAAAATACAACACAGGAATCTTTTGGGACTGTCTCTCCTCTGAAGACAGCCATAAGTCACAATTAGAAAATTGCAGCTTTTGGGAATTCCACAATAGCTTTATTTGACCCTTATCTTGGGTTGTGACCCTAACTAAGTAATGCCCATGCAAAGACCAAAGTTAAAATAACCTGATCAGAAATCACATGTTCACATGTGTCATATTAAAAAAATGACCCAGCAAACAACTGATATCAAAGACCTGTATGGTTTAACAAATTGCCAAAAGCTTCCCAGTAGTGAAAGCTGAAGCAAATTCCCAAGCTCAAGAGGCACCCTCGCTGCAGGAAGGAGCGCTTTCAAAATCATTCATCCCAACAGCAGTTAGACTCTATAACTCCTCAATCACAAAGTCATAAGTAACTGGACATTGTGGACATCCACGGTCACCACTTCATGCATAATGGACCTTCTGTAATAATGATAATGTATACTTACTCTCTCTGCATTTGACCCATTCACTCAGTGAAGCAGTGGGCAGCCAGTAAGCAGGCGCACGGGGAGCAGTGTGCAGGGACGGTACAGTGGATTCGCACCTACGACCTTCCGATTATGGGGCGACCACTCTACCTACCGAGCTATCCCTGCCCCTAAAAAGATGTCTCCTTCTAGCCAGATGTGTATGCTATGTGTATGGACGTGTGCAGGTATATATTTGAATTTGAATTGAATTTGAATTGAAATTTTTATTTCAGTCAACAACAACAAAAACAACAACAACAGATTATAATTTTACATAAATGTACTCAAACAGTAACCGAAAAAGGAATAGGCTGAAGCCTCGTGGCTTACTTATCCTATCCCTTACCCCCATAGAAATAATCAAATCCTTAACCAAGAAAATAAATAGCATTGATAAATATATGTATGTATATGTATACATATGTATATTTAGTGTGTACCTGTGTGTGTGTGTGTACATGTCTATACATTGGACTAGTAGTGGTAGAATAGTTATGTTAAGCTATGTAGTTTATGTCTTGCATATTTCCACAACCATATCCATAATCACATACTGTGTATGCTACCGTTGTATATAGTGTATTATCTTACTTTTTAAAAATTTTATTCTTTATTTTATTTGTATTTTTTGTATTTTCCTTCTGATATCTGTACCTGAGCTGAGATAACGCAAAACATTTCCCCGTCGTGGGATCAGCAAAGTCTTATCTTATCTTATCTCTTATATTATAAAGTAAAGACCCTACAATAATACTAGAGAAAACCCCTACAATCAGGGGGACCTCTTTGAGCAAGCACTTGGCAACAGTGGGAAGGAAAAACTCCCCTCCAATAGGAATAAGCTGACGAAGGGGCAGCTGCTGAAACCTTTCAGGAGTGAGAGGAGGAAGACAGGACAAAAGACATATATGTTAAATGTTAAAGTCTAAACAAAAAGTCCCCTGCCCATGGGTCTTTGGAAGGGCTGCTGAGATCAAGTGTCTTCTCTCCAAACAAACAGACC